GTGTGTGTGTGTGTGTGTGTGTGTGTGTGTGTGTGTGTGTGTGTGTGTGTGTGTGTACACAGTGGTTCTGTCTGTGCTGATTCTATCACAGACTGACCTGTCCAGAGTGTAGCATGATGAGCTTTTCTCCTGTTGTTAGCTGGGATGTGCCCCAGCCCCACCATGACCCTGAACAGGATCAAAAGAGTACAGAAGATTTGACCTGGAACAAGTGAGAGCTGCATTCAGAAAATTAAACCAACACTTAAATACTGTAAATTTAGCAAGAAATGTTATTCAAAGTGCCTCAGATTTATCTGTATACTCCAATGTAGCAGAGACAATAAGTATTTTTGTTGTAAAATGCATACCTCTGAGTAGACAAGGTTTCTAGCCACACAGAGCAGAACTGCTTCTAGTTTTAATGAAACAACCAAAGCCTGAACTGAAAAAATAGACCTACCAACTGCAATTACAACAAAGCCTGCTCTGTCACAGTTTGTTTTCATTTAGCCTTTGCTGCACAAGTAAATCTTGCACTCATCAATAGATGTTGCTGTTTGGACTTTAAGATGAAGAAACAGGCTACAGAAGTGCATAAAATGATGCATTATTAAATGGCTCAAAATACACAAACTAAAGTCATTAAAGGTGTTACTACCCAGCTGGCATTTTGACATTTAGTCACTGTTGAATCAACACATGGCCCCGTTTCAGAAAGCAGGCTTAACAAACCCTGGGTTAACACAGATACTCTGAATCAATACCCTGCTCTGTGATACTCAGGATTTTCAGTTTCAGAACAGGTGATATTAATTGGGTAATTTAATCTTGAGTCAAGTTACCCCTGAGTTAGGTTGGAGCACTAATCCCTCATTTTAGGAAGTCAGATAACACGATTCACCCTGGCAACAGGARAAAATAAAAAGACCAGAAGTCCATTTCTCTGCACTGCAGCTAGAAATATTAATGACGGCCTATGGAGAAAACAAACATATGTTATAAAAAAAAGCAATACTGTTGCTACTGCAAGAAAGAAAATTAGTGTGGCAGACAATTGCTGTTCAAGTCAATATGAAAACATAGTAAAATCAGGTAGTATAAGCTCTTTTTTTTCAACCTTTAACAAATAAATTGCACAATTCAGCTAAATTTCAACATATGAAATTAATGTGCCCCCCCTCAAAAAATAA